CGATCTCGGCTCACTGCAACCTCCGCCTCCTGGGTTCAGGCAATTCTCCTGCCTCAGCCTCCTGAGTAGCTGGGATTACAGGCACGTGCCACCATGCCCAGCTAATTTTTTGTAGCTTTAGTAGAGACGGGGTTTCACCGTGTTGACCAGGATAGTCTTGATCTCTTGACCTCGTGATCCACCCGCCTCGGCCTCCCAAAGTGCTGGGATTACAGGCTTGAGCCACCACGCCCGGCTGAGATACTGTTTCAAACAAAGAAAATTAAAATAATTTTTTTTAAATGACTGAAAACTTCCCAAATTTGATGAAAAACATTAATCTACACATCCAAGGAGCTCAACAAATTCCAAGTAAGATAACTCAGAGATCCACACCAAGACACATCATAGTCAAACTGTCAAAGCCAAAGACAAAAACAGAATCTTGAAATCAGCAAGGGGGTCGGGGGGACCTCTTCATAGACAAGGGATTCTCAAGATTAACAATTGATTTCTCATCAGAAACCATGAAGGCCAGAATGCAGAGATGACACAGTCAAAGTGTGAAAGAAAAAGACTATCAACCAAGAATTCTACATCCAACAAAACTAATACTGCAAAAATCAAGGAGACCTGGGTAAAGACAGAAAAGGAATTAAGACATTCCCAGATACAAAAACTGGAAGAATCCATTGCTAGCATACCTGATCTACAAAAAATACTAACAGGAGACTTTCAGCTAAAATGAAAGAGCTCTCTACACAGTAGCTCAAATCCACACAAAAAATTAAGAACACCAGTAAAAATAATGACATAGGTAAAGAGAAAAGAAAGCACAAATGTATCTTTGTCTCTAACTCTTTTCTTCAATATGATGTAAAGGATGAATGCATAAAACACTAATTATAAAATTGTGTTAGTGGGCTTAATATATAAGATGTATGTGTACAGCCACTGTGCAGCACCATCCACGCTAAACTTGTGTGAAAATCCCTATCATGTTGAGGTTAATTCAATCTAGAAACTGCATACTTTCTAAAGTTCTATTAGGCAAACTCTCAATAAGAATATGAAGGCTATAGGTGGGAGCGGTGACTCATGCCTGTTATAGCAGCACTTTGGGAGGCTGAGGTGGGTGGATCACTGGAGGTCAGGAGTTCAAGACCAGCCTGGCCAATCTGGTGAAAGCCCATCTCTACTAAAAATACAAAAATTAGCCAGACGTGGTGGTGCACGCCTGTAATCCCAGTTACTCAGGAGGCTGAGGCAGGAGAATTGTTTGAACCCAGAAGGTGGAAGTTGCAGTAAGCTGCGATTGTGCCACTGCACTCCAGCCTGGGCGACAGAGCAAGATTCTGTCTCCAAAAGAAAAAAAAAAAAAATGAAGGTTGTAACAGATTTCAAGAGTTAAGGTTCTCCATCACATTCCAAATTTATAATACACACACACATGGACTCCTTGGCACACAGAAGTCTCTGTTTCAAAAAGGACGTTTACAATTGGGTTATCATTTCCTATTAATCAATACTTAACATTTCAGCTATTTAATAATTCATGGAAGGTAAGGTTGAAATGCTATTCTAAATTATGGTACTCTGATATAGAAAAATAGCATACCAATAATATTCTTATTGGTTGACACAATAACATGTAAGGATTTTAAAATATGAAAAATCACTTATCAAATGTTTATCTGGTAAAACATTACAAATACTCACCCCTCCCTTTTTTTTTTGAGAAAGAGTCTCCCTCTGTCACCCAGGCTGGAGTGCAGTGGCACAATCTTGGCTCACTGCAACCTCCACCTCCGTGGTTCAAGCAATTCTCCTGTCTCAGCCTCCCGAGTAACTGGGACTACAGGCGAATGCTACCACACCCAGCTAATTTTTGTATTTTCAGTAGAGACAGAGTTTCGCCATATTGGTCAGGCTGATCTCCAACTCCTGACCTCAGGTGATCCACCCACCTCAGCCTCCCAAAGTGCTGGAATTACAGGTGTGGGCTACCACACCCAGCCACAAATACCACTTTATAATCAATGGAAAATGACCAAATTAGAATTTTTTCAAATAATTTGCATTCTAAAGCAAACCTAGGGCCAAGCATGGTAGTTCACACCTGCAATCCCAGGACTTTGGGAGGCCAACGCAGGAGGACTGCTTGAGGCCAGTTCAAGGTTGTAGTGAGCTATGATTAACCCACTGCACTCCAGCCTGGGTGACAGAGCAAGACCCTGTCTCTAAAAAAACTTTTTAAATAAAGGAACACAAACTTAGAAACATGGATCACTGGTAGAATATTTTTATTCTGGTTCATTCATTTATTTATTCAAGAAATGTTTATGGCACACTTGCTGTGTCAGACACTATGGTAGGAACTAGAGATAAAAAGACAAGGTCTGCCCCTCAAAGTATGCACAGTCCAGGGAGAGGCTCCCATTCTAGAATCAAAGAAGGTATGATTAGAAGAGACCTAATAGTTCCCCTATTTAACAGATAAGGAAACTGGGACTCATCACTACTTAGCTACTAAGGTAAGACAGACATCCAGGTCTAGAGATTTCCCACCCCATGTGTTCTTTGCACCATACTTCTTAGGACTAAGGGTGACGAAGGAGTGTTTCCATGTAAGTAAAGCAGAAACATGGAATTGTGGGCAATATATGTAAAATTAAATTAGAGACAGAAATCCCTAATGGATATGGATAATATAATTATTTAACAATTATTAAATAGCGATTATTTAAATAAATATCTAACAGTTTAGAAACAAACATCTCTAATAGATGTGATATTATGGTAAAGCCCTAATTAGCAAGCTTTATTGAAGAACTAAAATAAGGTAATATAATAGTAAGCCTTCTGAGCTATAATTACAGTTTTGCCTCTGTTTTTTGATCTGTAAAATGGGGATATTAAAATTTTATTTCACAGACTGTTGTAAAAATTAAATGAATACTTGAAAGCATTTAGTAAGCCTGGTACCTAGCAAACACTCTATAAATGTTTGGTATTCTTGTGGACAATCATTTCTTAAATGTACCAGGTATGACACATAAACCAAAACAGGGAACCATTTTTTTAAGGGATTATCCTATTATTATGATGGTCTTATTTTCTGGTGACTAGTAAAATCTCACTATAATAATAATACATATTTCGGATATAGTATTTAAAATGAATAAAATTTAATAGTATGGCCCCTTTCTCTATAAAGACCTTTATCAATCCTAAAGCTACAGAAAAAGACATTAAATTATTAATTTAAATAATATTCCATCATGATTGTAATTAATTAAATCATTTTGATCAGTATTTCTGAGATACCAAAGATGACTTTCAAGTAACTAAAAAGATTATGGTATAGGTGTGGTGGCTAATGCCTGTAATTCTAGCACTTTGGGAGGCTAAGGAGAGAGGATCATATGAGCCCAGAAGTTTGAGACCAACCTGTGCAACATAAGGAGACCTCTTCTCTACAAAAAAAATGTATAAATTAGCTGGGTATGATGACACACGCCTGTAATCCCAGCTACTGGGACTCTAAGGCAGGAGGATCACTTGAGCCTGTGAGGTCCAGGCTGCACTGAACTGTGATCCAGCCTGGGTACTCCAGCCTGGGCAACAAAATGAGACCCTGTCTCAAAATTTAAAAATAAAATAAAAAGTTTATGCAGATTTTCTCATTCTACATAAACTACTGTTAAACTAACATCTATAAAATAACCATCCACTGTATATATTAATGAAACTTTCATATTAAAATAAATCCTCATTCAATATCAATAATAAAATAAATAACTGTATTTGTATCCACTTACTGCAATCTCTCTACAAGCTGACATGGATATTCCTGTGCCTTCAATTTGCTTCAATGCATACTCCTTTTCATCTTTTCTGCAAATAAACAAAAAAACATTATTTTTCCATATATCACTTTCAGACTCAAAATTATAACTAAAAAACAATGGAAATAAACTTAATTTCCCAGTGATATGTAAACACTCTCACTATGCCATGCATTGCTTATTATTTTTGATAATATTTCAACTACAGAAATATGAAACACCAAAAGAAATTCATGTCACAGTGAAAACATCACACAGAGCCAAAACACAAAATTCAAAATTGAAACAGAACAGGATACTAAACACAACACTAGTTTCAAAGAGTAAACAAGCATAAATATAAACTCAAACATATTGCAAGATAATTCCACTCCTATCTTAATTATCTGGAATCTACAAAAGCATTCTGTTATAGACATTCACTATAAAAAACTAACAGACATAAACTCCCAGATTCATTTAAAGTAATTTCATAGTATAAGCATTTATAGGAATGAGAACCCACTGAAACACACTGGCTCTCACCTAGGATGAAGACATTCAAAAGCCCGAGGACCTCAATCAAAAGCCTTTTAAAGACTTCAAAGCTCTGGCCACCAACATCTGATTCCCAGGAACTCTAGGAAGAACCCAATACTTAAACTGGATGTTTTAAACAATGGACATAGTATTCGGAATTCTGGGAAATCCCAATAGTTACTAAATTGCTTAACCAAGAGAATACAGCAGTTCAAAAAACAGTGAAACATTCTGTTAAAATATTAATAATATGAGATGAGTGGCTAGTGCAATACAGTAAGTGTCCTCAAGGGTGCTGACACCAGAACCAGCCATGCAAAGGTCCCAGCTGAACATAACTATAGTTCATATTGTGAGTTGTTCTTATAACAGGAGTTAAATCCATGCCTTCAAAGTTTTGTCTTTTGATTGTATTAGAGCCTCAGTAAGGTAGCACCATGTCATGATGTTTTTGTCAACTATAGCGCCAAAGTAGTGCCACATCTATCTACTTAGCTATTCCTAATTTTCTTCATTCTGTTTACTTGCAGATAGAGCAGTTTAGGAGGTTATTCAAAATGTGCATTTTAAAATACTATTTTACATCCCTTTTGAAGATTTTCACAATCATCTACCAGCAAATAATTGAGATATGGTTACTTTCCCTCACAATCAGTTTGAAAATTATATCCATTTTTCTTCCAACATACAGCATTCAGGAAATAATTAAATAGTATTTTGACAAACAGAAAACTACTAGATATGTCAATAAGATGGACTCTGATGTAATTTTTAAAATGATAGCTAGAAGGTCATTAGAAACATGGAAAATGTTTACCACATGCTGAGAAAATACACAAATTATATAAAAATCTACATACATCTACAAACATGTTGAAGGTAATACGAAAAAATTGAAAATAGTTATGTTAA